GTTCATCTTTCATGACAAAACTAATATTACAATCTCTTTTGATCGCTTAATTTGTTACTTGACAACAACAATGTTTTTGTCCACAACCAACACAATCCGCCCACCCCTCCACGTGCGGAAATACATAGTTCCCGATGACTGGATCCACCAAAAATGACCGTTTGAAGTTCGTATAAATAATGTTCGTTTACAAGAAATACCGTGAGTAGACCATTTCAACGATAGTTAGAGGTTAAATTTTAGTGGCTGATATAACTTAAGACATATTCACTTCGGATAAGATGCATTATTTGCCTACCACAGACGTTTTGTAGCCGCGAGTAACCGTGAATAAGTTGGTACCAAGCATTCGTAATAGCCCTGCGGCAACTTTATGTGGGCGATAGTACTAGAGCTATGATCTGATCATCTGTGATGAAATACTCATCATTACATTATGATAGAAGTTCCCCACTGTGCAGTGTGGCCCTATGTGTCATTGCTCTTGTAGGCGACTAAGGCCTAAAAAAAGACGTTTGTTTCCGCTAACCCGACCGAGTCCATTTTAAACTGCCGGGCGAAATTTCTTTTTTTTACACAAATATAAAAAATCCCAACGTGGTATTGATCGGTGAATACATTGATTTGACTTTGAAGTCATTATATGGGCTGTTATACAATATAATTTTATATATATATAACAAGTATTATTAGAATACAACAAAAAATAAAAAATATTTGATAAAAAAAAGTTTTCCCTGCCTTCCATGTCCAATTTTTTTCAGCTCGTTAGCGGAAATAAACATATTTTTTTCTTAGGCCTAATGCCAATCTAATCAATCTTGCCATCATGCATCAGCTCATCATGCATTGTATTTAAAAATATATGATGCCCAAATGTAGGTGCAATGCCAATATATAGTTGGATTACAATGCTGGCAAAGCAATTATAGATATAGAGCAGTTCAAAATAGGGTCGTAAAGGCCCAATCAGTGACACTAATAAAACCACGATGTTCGCAAATACAATAAGATAATTTTAAGCTGGTGAAGAGGTGATTCTACTAAATTAAATGAAAATTATTGGTGTTATACAGCAGGCAGCAACAGCCGGAATGGCAGAGACAGAAAGCGAAACAGAGTTTCAGAGTGCAGACGAAGGAAGCGAAGATGAAGCGACATCAGAGCATTCCCTTGGTGAAAGTAAAGTTCCAGAAAACTTACATAATGAGGCAACTGATCCAGAAGTAAATAATGCCAAAACAGGTATCCATGATCAGAATACATTTATGGCAGTTCTAATTTATGATCATCATAAGCTATTATAAAAATAAAGTCTTTCTAGTGGATTAGTAAATAACTGAAGCTTATGAGTACTATGTAAAATAATGCATGTGAACAAACATTGCTGTCTATATTATAGCATTCCCTGCTGCACTTGAGCAAGTGTAACACTTTAGAAATATTCACTATCGTGTTATTAATGTATATATTACTATGAACATACAATTGCCTTGACATGTGCATGGTATTAGTGTTGATCATATTTAAACAGGTGATGCAGTTTCAACAGAGGAAGGACTGAAAACTGATACTGCTAGTGTTTATGCAAAAAGCACTACAGGTAACAACACTGAGGTGCAGGATGTTGACCATACATTGACACAGATGGGATCGTGTAATATTACTGAAGATAACTCTAAGCTTTCGTCCAAAGAGGAAGAAGCAGAACCTTCACAGGTGAATGCGTCAAGGATTGATTCTAAATGACGTTTCCTTTTTTTTGCATAATTATTGGGAACAATATGATTATTTATAATGTTCTCAATCCATATGTGGCAAATTGTGAATAGAATGTTACGGTGTACTTTAGTTTAAGCATTTTTCTCATTTTATTCATATTACTAGCTGTAATGAATTTTAGATGTTTGGTATGGTTTGTGAGCCATTCGGATTCTAACCATATATATCTTCTGGGTTAAAATGCCTTTTGTGTTAGCATTGTTGGATCAATCGAAGACATATTACGTATATTTGTACATGTGCAATTTAAACAGAATGAAATGTGAACACTGCTGACTTGTAGTTATTTTCTGTATGTGTAAACAGTTCCAGACAGACGCTACTCTTACGAGTAAGTTGGATTCAGGAGTCAAGGAGGAAACAAAGGCAGAGCACACCGAGAAAGAGATGTCTGTCCTAGAGAAGCTGTCTGGAGTTGCTCAAGTAGGTGACGTTTCTGTGAGGATGATCCAAACACCATAAAATAATTAAAGCTGAAAGTCGTACGTGGCTAGAGTGAATTGGTTCAGAAAGCAGCAGTGCTTAGCTGTGTTTCTAGGTAGTAGTTAAGTTTTTTAGGTTCAGTTGCAAATGGATATCCTCATTGTGCGCACGAGAGAGCATTTGGTGAGAGTAATAATTTCTGTAAGTAGATGTTGATTTGTCTTTGCAGTCGGAATCATCTCAGCAGCCTGCGGCTCGTACCGGGTGGGGCTGGGGCTGGGGGTCCTCCCTGCTCTCTACTGCCTCCACATCCGTATCCACATTTACCTCACAAGTTGGTAAGACAGTAGTAATAAATTTATTGACGCTTACTGCGCATGTTACGTCTGGAGTTCATAAATAATAGCGAGATGTTTCTCTATTATTGGTATTGCTTTATCATCTGCTAGTATCTAATTCCTGATGAAATGGAATTCACATTCATATTCTGTAGAACCTACATCCTATATCAATCATTAAGCATCGTGTAACGTTTACTAATGAATAAAACTAAACTATATTGTAATGTGAAGGTGTGCCTAATATATGCATTATATTTCATTCTAAATGAATGCTCACATGCCCTGATAAACATTCTTCTCATTTCTGCATATAGGCATATGGGTCACTCTAATGTTCTATGCTTCATTAGAGTAATACTAGTAAACAAGGCCATTGTTTGCTATAGTGAGGGTACATAGATAGATGACCGTGCACCAGGCTGAGAAAGGCCACAGGTGTGCGATTGATATTGCTGCACCCCACGTGATTCTTTTTACACCTGCTCGTAATTCTAATACGTTAAGATGTTCGTTTACTCAGGTCATGGTATAAGCGCAGTGCTAGAGACGGTTGAACATGAGATGGGCGCTCCTTCCCCTGAACAACTTGCACAGGACTCGGTGGCAGGCACAGCAGAGGAAGCAACAGCCGATATGCGAATTGGTGACAAGAAACAGAGATGTAACTATCGCAAATATATATGTGTATGTGCGCGCGTGTGCGTGTGCGTGTACGTGTGCGTGTGCGTGTGTGTGTGTTGTTTTATGTGAACATATAACATATATACACAGAGGTATTTTCTATATTTTTAAGGGCTAAGTTATATATTTTTAGCTCAGCTGACAAAGTCAGATGCAGCTTGTAGAATCGCATGATTGTCCGTCCGTCCGTGCGTTCGTCCGTTCGTCAACAGTTGGGCACAAATCTTAACCGCTCGACGTACGGTCTTGATACTTGGGATGTCGAAAGGGGGGGGGGGAGGTCGCGAAAAGGACTCGGGATGTCGAATTTGGGGGTCAAAAGTCAAAATGTGTCAATGGAGGGGGACTATTTTCCCCTTAACTTAAGGTATAGGAGGAAATACGGAATTGCGGCACAAATCTCAATGGCTCACCCTACGCTCTTAATATTTGATGTATAGTGTGATGGGGAAGAAACCCATCACCAGTGCGAAATTGGAGGTCACAGGTCAAAGGGCAGTGGGGGAAAGGTTGGATATCAGACATTTTCTGAGGACATGGTCTAATGGACCGAGTGCAAAACTTTTTTGTTTCAGCGCCAACCTACCATTTCTATCACTTTATTGAAAGGACCATGAAATGTACTTTCCGCTGATGTGCGAAGAGTAAGTGTCTGATAACCTTTTGACCCTTAAGAGGAGGGTTAAACATGGATTTGTTGACTGTTAACAAAGGACTGAACTGCTTTTGCTATTGTGGATGTGAGGCTACAGTTGCACAGTTCAATTGCAAAGGCAAATGTTTGTTGAACAAGGTTTACGCTCCTTAAATAATATTATTTTTTAAAGCAGTCTGTACTAGCACCCTGAGTAGCACCCTGTATTAGCACACTGTAATAGCACCCTGAATGCTCGCGTGGGTAGGCAAAAACACGGGGGCAGCCCATTACGCATGCATGGGGGTGAACTGGCACTATTCTAATAATAATTATTGCCTGGCAACCTGCAATGCAGATGTGTTAACTCACAGCTGAGCGAAATTCTCGCCTGCCTGAATATACTTGGATTTTAGCTGGTAGGATTTCAGCAACTCAATGGAGTGAGGTTATCACAGACGAAGGGCGATGCCATCTTTGATTATTGATGACACTTGCACGCGCCATCTCGCGCAACTGCTTTTGCTATTAGAGCCCCCTCTATTACTAAATTGCCGCAATGTGCCATCAGCCCTACGTCATACCCACGTCGGCCATCTACGTGGCCTATGGGGCATAAAACATTTCCACTCCCGACTCGCCATTGGCCATTCATTCCGTCATCACCTTAGGAGTGACCATAGGCACTAATCACGGACCCTATGCCTTCCCTGTAGCCAGCAGTGATTGGTAGAAGCATATTTGGTAATGGCATCGCGGCTCATCTTGCAAGGGGGGTATAAAACAGCCTGCATGGGAGACACAAGGCTCTCTCGCTCTAACCCTCGTCTTTTTCTAAAATTCACTGTGTAGCGCGCAATCTTTATTTTTACCCTGTGTGATTTGTACGTGTCTTTAGCGAGTAAATAATTTACGGTAAAGTGGCAGTTGTGAAAATACACCCCTTCCTTCTGTTTTATTTCTGTTTTTACATACAATTACACTTCAATTGTGCACCCATTATACGGCGCACATAGCACCCAGCTATAGTGCACAGTCATCTGGCAGCAGAAATTATCCAGCGACTACATTATATTTCCTCCCTACCACCAACTTCTGTAGTTTTTTTGTGATTATCAATTTCACGTCTTATATTGGAATAATTTATCTGGAGAATTACGCACTACATTATAAAAACAACAACCTGAGGATGTGTCTTATTATATACTAGAACCAAGCTAGTAATGGAAGCCAGCTGTATAGATTGCATTAATTATTTCTAACATTCTCGTGATTCGCGCTATAGCTGAGAAGCCGGTGGAGGCAGCAGAGGAAGCTAACGAGAAGACGAGCAGAAGCTCAGGGAAGCAGAAAGAGCAAGAGCAAGCTGCAGAGAGCAAAAATGAGGCAAAAGATCATAAATCTACAGGAGAAGAAGAGGAAGGAGGAGGAGGAAGAGGAGGTGGAGGAGGGATATTTGACATGTCTAAAGGCTTACTTGGAGGCATAAAGCTTGGAATCTCAAATATTGTTGAAAACACGGTAAGTATTTAAGAAATATGAATTTATTGGTTTTATACTCACATTTAGATCTATAAATCATTGTTCATCATTGTATTCTGTTCATATTTGAAATAAAGCTATCGGCTCTTGTTTTTGAATACATACAAAATTTACTATTCTATTTATTTTTTACACTCATTATTTACTATTATCCTCAAATTTTGTTGTCCTAATTATTGCAACGTTCAGTGAGTTAGGCGCTCGCTTTTAAACATACTTTACATTCTTGTGCTATGTTTCGTGGGTTTGCTTTTATTTAGGTTGAAGTAGGCTTAGATGCATTGGAATCGGTTGGAAAGAAGACGTGGCATCATTTGTCTTCTGGTGATCCAGGATTACGCAAGAAAAGGGAGCTGCTAACTGGGGGACCCAAACCAAATCTTTCCCAGGTTAATAATGATGGCTTATAATGTTTACTGATTCATTAGCTAATTGAATAATTGGTTGCTTGATTGATTGATTGATTCTATAATTCTGTGCAAAATGCTTATTAAGGCATGAAATGTCTCACAAAGACAAGAATGCATAGCAAAATATTAAACATGGTGATTCGGATAACGTTTTCTTATTATTTTACGATGTTACAACTTGCATACACATGTCTATGTATGTAGGTGCTAAGGGAAGTAAAGGAACAGGCCGAGGAAGAGGCTAAACAGAATGCCGAGATAGCAGAAGCCAGTAAGGGGCACTTTAGTTACTGGTTTGATGAACAGCAAGGTAAATGTAATCTGCAATTAAGGTAAAAATTCATAAATTAATTATCCTGGTATCCTGCAGCTATGAATACTAACCAGCTTTAAAAATAGATTTATATTTAATAATATATTAAATACAATTAAACGTGGTGTTTTTGTGCTATTGTTGCAAAATTTAGTGTAACTCGAGTGATGACAATAACATAATACTAGTATATCACCCAAATATTTTGCAGCTGAATTCTCCAAATAGGTTGAAATTCAATAATATAAACTATTGTACTTACTGATTTTAGAATTAGATCGTAGATATTAAATTATTCTTATACTTTATATCAAGGCCCACAATTCCAAACACATGGGGACACAGTTTTCATATATCACAAAGTTCCTCAAGTATTGCTTAATGTTTTACAATTCTAGAGAGTTCTCTATTTGCTATGGGCTGAGGTTTCGTTATTAATCCTATGGTTTCTATGCTTCATATGTCTTTCACATTGATAATCACAGTAGGTATGTTCTCATGTTTATTCTGGCAGGGCTCGCTCACCTGGAGGCATTGGAGATGCTGTCGAACCAGAGTGAAACAAGAGTGCAGTCATCGCTCAACGTGCTGCCTGCAGAGCAACTGCCGGAATTTAAGGGCAATCTTATTAGTCTGAGAGATGTGTTCCAGATTGAGGACGTTGATGAAGGTACTGGTAGTGCTGGCGATGCTATGTAGTGGAGTAAGTTTGCTGATCGCCACATGTTGCATATCACGTGATTATATAATTACCTATAAAGAATGTAAGTTTCATTTGATTATTGCTAGGTTATTGTTTTAATGTCTGTTAGCTTGCCAATTCGATTTTCTAGCATGTTAGAAGCATCTATAAATAGATGGTACTGTTTCGTGTGCCAGCATTCCATTTAGAGTTATTCTAAGGCTTTTAAATTTATGAAGAGAATTTGTGAGAAGGGGAGATGAAGCCTCGATGGGTGAGATGTGTAGTATGTGTTCTGTAGATAAGTGTAATATGTGTATTTGCGTGAGTGCGTGTGTGTGCCTGCATGCGTGCGTGCGTGCTTGACTTGTGTGTGTGTGCGTGCGTGCATGCGTGCGTGAGTGCGTGTGTGTGTGCGTGTGTGTGCATGTGCGTATGTATGCTTTCTAATATTTCCATACTGTTTTGAACCATTCAGTGTAATACATTTCAGCATGTAGGTGATATGACACATAGATGTTACCCTGGTTATTTCATTTGTTATCAGACGATGGTGAGAATGAACATGATTTTGATGCTGCACTGAAGGCATTGGCATCAGATATCAACATAGTGAAGACTAGTGAGAAACTTCTAAGTGGTCACGTGCGGGTCAGGCAGTGCTTGGAGCAGTTGGGTGCAGAACAAGAGACTGGTGCTGCAAAGGAAGGCAAGGTAATTCTAAAAATGTGACACTAAATATCTCATATCAGTGAGTGCATATGGTGTTATGGTCTGTACATGTATACATCTCAGCATGTATCCTTATATTTCTCTGATTTCTGTCACTACTATAGCAGTATTCTGAGTGGTATGCTTAGATTTATCAATTTGGTTGATAATTATTTGGACATTTCATCCACATTGAATGTAATAAATAATTCAGTAATCTATGCTTATTACACAACATTACAACATGACGTGGTCACGTTATCGTCATTGGAGCATGGTTGCTAGTCCCATATTTTCTATCATTCGCCGTCTCTGCTGTATAGTATTGTTCTACATCTTATGCTTCAATTGATCAATAGTATTTAGATCTCCTGACGACCCATCTGTAAATAAAATAAATAATTTGCTAAGCGATCACATAATTGCAATACAGTAAAACCCGCGTAATAAGAAGCAAGATTTTAAGAACATTTAGAGCCCTAAGACTTTTCCCATTTAGACTCCCTTTAACATAAGAATCTGACTGCGTTGGCTAGAAGATGTTTTACAAGTACGGTTTCTTATTTTCCACTGCAGACTCGAAGACTTAAAAAAGAATACCACAGTAAAATAAAAAAAAGGCTCACAATATCGATCGACCATACCAAGCCAAATGCCAATGCTGCACCATACAGCAGACCCACATTCAGCCCCTAAAATACATGTACTTTGTATTGACATCTCAACCATCAACAAAAACAAACATGTGCAACTACACATAAACTGCTCACTATAACATCCTTACACAAAACACTACTATGTACCTGTAACACTGAGCACTGCACAGTCCACTAAGCCGCGCCCATAGCCGCTGGGGTTTCAGCTAGCTACTATATTATAAGCAAGTAGAAACAATTAAGCCTAACCACCTATTAAGAACCGCTTTGAGCCTAATTTTTCAGTAAACACCATATATATATACAGTAACCAAGCGGCCTGTTGAGGTCTAACCTTGCGGAAAAATTCATATGTATCTTATCACACCGCGGACAGTTTTTACTGCTATTTGACTGATTGGGTTGCCGGTTGCGCTGCATCAGTTCCTACCAACAGCAGGGTAGGCGGAATGCCAGATTCATTGGTGAGGCTCTACAGCCGTGGATGCGGGCTTTCCGAGCAAGCATGGGGAGAGCTGTCTGGGCCGCTCTGAGGAGGGAAGCGACGTTGCAGAGACACCCTCGATCGAGCCAGACGCAGTTCAAACAGGTATTCCAGATTTCTAATCGCTAAACTTTTCATGAGATCAATTGATATCAAATGACTGTAACTCATCCAACTGTCAGGCACGTGTCAGTGTATCTGTGACCTCCTAGAGACAAGAGCAGGACAGCCGCCACTTTCATACCACGGTGTAGTGGCGCAGTAGATGTGGGCACCCCCGGTAACGTCGGCATTAATCGGCGCTACATATAAAGCATTCGCTTAGTGGTCATATTTCAATTTGTACATACGCATCACAACTTCAAGCATCTCTCATTATGATTAAATGTGGAATATTAAAGAAGGACTGGAAGTGACATTAACGCAAAATTCTGAATGTATCAGCTATCCAGGCCATTCAGATACCTTGCGTAAGAGCCAGGAAGGTAGTGTGCATATCAAACTGAGCTGCTAAGATTGGTACAGCTTTAGGTTGCTTTATAAATCATACTGGTAAACGGAATCATTTGGGTTAATGTTGTACACCTTAGCAACCTCACATAATCATGACAGGAACCTGTTGAGGCACTCAGCTCCTTAAAATACAGTTTCATAACACGCGGGGATCGAGCCTCGCTTTCCTTTGTCGTTTTATTCACAACATAAGTGTTGTTGTATTTGTCTAAACTGAATTTATAGTTTTTGTTTCCATGTCCATATGGTGTGCCTAAGCTAAACGTTTCAAGCCTGCATTTTGTTGTTGACAGATTTGTGTATGCTCATCGTGGCCAACTGAGGTGGAGCAGTGATTCGGCGTCAAAGTGTTTTCACTAGTGTTCTAAACATCAGCGCTGCGGGGGCGCGGTATGCGCCTTGCGGTGCCTCCTCGGCCGCCATCTCCGACCAGGGGCGAGCGTGCTTCGCAGACCGTGAGTGCATAGATGTTCTCTTTATTGTTGTTGTTTTCCCCAGTTACTCACTAATAGATATTCATATCTTATTTGCTGTTATCTTAGCCGATCTCATGTCGTCACTGTATTTTCACGAGGTCTGTAGAGTTAAGCCTATCAGGTCTCTCTTAATCAACACTTAACACAATCTCATATCAAACCTGTATTGTCATTTGGCAAGTCCTAGTATTCTCGGCTAAAATGCTAATAGTAATAGGAGTCTATTATCTTTGCTAATAAGTCCCATGGGAATGGAATGCTTTGGTGTGGGCAGGTAAAGAATACCCTAATTGCTTTACTATTAATTATTGTTACCTTAGGAAAATTGGCCGGATAGCATCTACATACTTAAACCCCCATTAAACATCAGCATGCTATATACCAACCATCTTCATTTCTAACATTAAGCATCCTTCCTTAACACTCTGGCCTCCATGTAAATGAACACCGCTCCTGTATATAAGGAAACTTTCGGCGACCTTTTCCTTTGACTGACAGTTTATACAGTGAAACCTCTTTAAAATGAACATCTCCCTATAAAGGGAACTTTGGACATTTTACTTGACTGACAGTCATACAGTGAAACCTCTTTAGAATGAACACCTCTCTATAAAGGAAACCTGGCATTTACTCCGAGTGACCCTTATACACAGGTGCGAATGTAACCTGATTCAATGAGCCTGTGTGTTTCAAATGGATTTATCTGATCTGTAACATTGATTCTAATTTGCCCAAACAAATGTAAACTTGCTTCCAACGGATCACCCGTCGTGTTGGTTCACAACTAGCGAGTGCTGATTGGCCGAGTCACGTGCCACCATATTGGATTCCCTTCTATTCCACCTTGCTAGCAGGATCAACAATTCGAACTACGGATCAGTGATCCACCCAAACAAATGCACAGGATCAATGGATCCGTGCGATCCCGATTATTTCATCAGCCCAAATGAACACACCCAAACATTGAGCATGCATGAACATCTCTGTAACTGCTGTTCTGTGTTCGGTAGGACGATGCGGAGGAGCCAGAGCTTGTGACGCCGTTCTTAACGAACGTTTACCTGGAGGCGTCGAACAGCAGCACTTACCTGCAGGATGGCTTCAGACTGCTGCTTCCCGTCGTACAGCTAGCCTACCTGCAGGGGGCGCTACAGGCGTCGTGATTGCCGGCGCGCGAGGTTGCGTGATCTGCTGTAGATACTGTACGTGTACGTACGTCGCGCGCGTGCGTGCATACGTGTGTGTGTGCATGCATGAGTGTGTGCGTGCGTGCGTGCGTGCGTGCGTGCGTGCGTGCGTGCGTGCGTGCTTACGTGCGTGCATCCATGTGCCAACTAACCCACACTGGCACAACTGACCTAACCACCTGGCGTGATTCACATGCAGCTATAGCCAATTGTTGGTGTGATAGGTTGTTCTAAAAGACAATTCTTAGCAACATGGTGCCGCAAAATCGACAATTCTAACATGCACGTGAGGACACTGTGTACATATTTGTGTAGATTGGTGGTCGCCCCTAGCAACAATATTCAAGTAGGCCGTGGTTATCGCGTTCAGACGTACCAATCCAGTATGGCATTGCAAGTGTAATCTCTTGAGTATTTACTAGACAATGAGCCACTGCTCACAGGTGATACACTAGCAGTTTGGATTATCATATTTTTTAGATTTATAGATGATCCAATGGTAAATGTTTTAGTATGCATGTATCATGGCATGCAATAATGTTGTAATGGTAATGTTGTTTTGTTTGGCATGTTAGTAAATACATTAAAGAGTTATGAGAACATGCTAGATTGATAGCCACAGCATATATATATATATATGAATTGCGAATACAATATAAAAAGAGATATTCTGGATTGCAAAACTCCAAAAACTGCTGGGCTCATTTGACATTTGATCTATTTCGATTCAATTTTTGCGAATCAGAGTGTGCCCTCCTATAGTGAGGTAAGACTTGTTCTTTGCCTTTTGTTCTGTGCAAAACGACCATGAGTTTATCTAACCAGTAGATGGCGCAACATGCCAGGTTGGAAGTGCCAATAGAGACACTCGTTCTTTAACCGTGCAGTGATAATAGGGGTTGTGTTATAGACGAAAAATTATATGGTTTAATGTTAGAGCATAGGTTAGAGTTAGTGAACGTTTTAAGGTAAGTTATTCCGTTGTAAACATGAATATAACCGGAACATACAGTTACGTGAATTTGCTTTGTACTGTTGTTAATTTATGTAAATGCATAAAGATTTGCAGCGCTGCTATATTATCTTGAACATGGAGCTGACGGAAAAATGTGAGAAAAATAAACAGCCAATGGTTCAACGCATTAGCAGTTAGTCTGAATGTTTCTACAACAACGCCCTTAAACGGTCACTACGTTTTTCATTTTTGAATGCAAAATTTGTGTGATCGGCGACCGAGTTTGACGCTGCATATGCACCTGAAATAACGCCATTTACCAATGATTAAAGCCGCACTATGCGCATCCAAACTCTAATTTCTCCAGTACTAGACTAGCAAATACTTAGTGTCATGCATAATCACACTACCTTATGGCAAAATAAACTCTAGTTCCTCCCATTTCACTGCGCGTTTGCTTAAAACCCACAAGAGAGAGGTGCGAAATCTGGTAATCTGGCGCCAACGCTAAATTGTTTGCCAAACAATTTCGCCAAGAATCGGTTAGGTGACGTCACATGTTTTTATCTTTGCTACACCCGTACCGCTGTACTGCAGCACCGCTGCACGGTTGCTTGGGAGAGCAACGCGAAACTGTCAACAACATCGGAGAATTTGAACAACATTGGAGGTAGTTTCAAATGCCTTTTATAAGACAACGCGCAGTGAAATGGGAGGAACTAGAGTTTATTTTGTCATAAGGTAGTGTGATTATGCATGACACGAAGTATTTGCTAGTCTAGTACTGGAGAAATTAGCGTTTGGATGCGCATAGTGCGGCTTTAAATGTTTCATTTGCTAATGTGAAATTTATGCGATTGGCGAACGTGTTTGAAGCGGCATGCTTCTGAGATAATGCCGCCGGCCAATCATTAAATGCTTCATCTGAAAATACGTAATATTTGCCAATTTGTTTGAAGTCTAATCATCACATCAATTCGTTGTGTTCGCGGTTATACAGATCGTGCTGGGTATCTATCAATATATATATATATATATATTAAACCACTTACTTGTTGACGGCGTAATTTAAAATTTTATGATATTCCCAGCGGGGAAACTAACGTTATATTTTATTTATGACCAGGTGCGCGCGTATTGTAAGCTGTCTGAGGTTGCTATCGATGCTTATAAATGTAATAAAATGAACGAATGTGCGTTGCAAGGAATTTTATGTCCTTTTTGTAAATTCTGCAGCCTTTGGCCAGTAGTAACCCTACTTAGTTATTCCATCGCGGGAGCTCAGGGCGTGCATGGACTGATTTAGGCATCCTATAGGTAGATTATGTAAACCCGTTACGGGCAGTGTATTGATATACAAACAATATTAAAACTGTTCCACAGGAACTAAATTGTACTTGTATCATTGTTGTTGGGGAACCTGTTAAATACTGTATAAGCACTAATTTATTACGTAACATTGATGTCCTACGACTGAAATTTTGTGTCGAGTCGATGTAAATAATTTATCAAATGTACGGATAACCGAAGCAATTTCAATTTAAAACGTAATTACGTCATCAGTAATCTACTAATTCGCCCAGTGAAATTACGCACTCAATGAATGCTGTGTTTGACATTACTGCTGCGCCTGGCGCTACCTTGCAGCGTCAATCAAGTACTGCGTCTGACGCTACCTTGCGGCGTCAGTCAATACTGCGTCTGACACTATACCTTGCAGCGTCAATCAATACTGCGTCTGACGCTACCATGCAATGTCAATTAAGTACTGCGTCTGACGCTACCTTACGGCGTCAATCAATACTGCGTCTGACACTACCTTGCAGCGTCAATCAATGCTGCGTCTGACGCTACCTTGCAGTGTCAATCAAGTACGGCGTCTGACGCTACCAGGCAGTTTCAATCGATACTGCACCTGACGCTACCTTGCGGTGTCAATGAATTCATCGTCTCACGCTTCCAGGAAGGTCAAGCAATGTGGCGTAACTTCCTCCCTCCCTCTCCTACATTTCATCCACATTGAATGTAATAAATAATTCAGTTCATTGCACAGTTCATCCACCAGGAGGCGATGCAGAGCATTGGTGAACTTACAGCCGTGGGGATGGAGGCTTTCCACAAGATGGGAGAGCTGCTGCTGGTGGAGGAGGAAGCTGACTTGCAGAGACACCTCGATCGAGCCAACGCATTCAACAGGTATCAGATTTATCGCTAACTTTATGGATCAATGATATCAAATGATGAGCTCATCAAACTGTCATGGCATTGTGGCAGTGGATCTGTGACCCCTAGAGACAGAGCAGGCCGCCACTTTATACACGGGTGTAGTGGCAGTAGATGTGCACCCCGTAGAGTCGGCATTTATCGGCTAATAAAAGCATTCCTTAGTGTCATATCAAATTTGTACATAGCATCACAAACTTCAAGCATCTCTCATTATTGTTAAATGGTGGAATATTAAAGAAGGACTGAAGGAAATTAAGGCAAATTTCTGAATGTATCAGCTATCAGGCCATTCAGTACTTGCGAAAGCCAGGAGGGTTGTGTGCATATCAACTGAGCTGCAAGATTGGGTACAGCTTTAGGTTGATTTATAAATCATTTAAGGAAATTTGGGTGTAATGTTGTACCTTAGCAACCTCACAAATCATCAGGACCTGTTGGTGCAGCTCTTAAAATAAGTTTGCATAACACGTCGCTTTCCTTTGTCCGTTTTATTCAACATAGTGTTGTTGTATTTGTAAACTGATTTATAGTTTTGTTTCCATCTGATATGGTGTGCTAAGCTAAACGTTTCACTGCATTTTGTTGTTACAGATTGTGTATGCTCATGTGCACTGAGGTGGCAGTGATGGCGTCTAAGTTTTCACAGTGTCTAAACACAGCCGCCGTGAGTAGATATAATGTTCTCTTTATTGTTTGTTCTTCCCAGTTATCACTAATAGATATTCTACCTATTGCTGTTATCTTTAGCAGATCTCATGTCGTACTGTATTTTCACCTGTAGATTAACTATCAGTCTCTCTTATCATTAACACATCTCATATCAAACTGTATTGTCATTTGCAAGTCTAGATCTCCTAAAATCTATATATAATTCTTTATTTTGTAATAAGTCATGTGAATGGAATGCTTTGTGGCAGTGAGAATACCTAATTGCTTTACTATTAATTATTGTTACTAGACAAATTGCTGGATAGCATCTACAGACTAACCCCCATTAAACATTCAACATCTATATACAACCATCTTCTTCCAACATTAGGCATCTCCTTAACTTCTGGCCTCCATGAAATGAACACCTCTGTATAAAGGAAACTTTGGGCATTTCCCTTGACTGACAGTTATACAGTGAAACCTCTTTAAAATGAACATCTCCCTATAAAGGGAACTTTGGACATTTCCCTTGACTGACAGTTATACAGTGAAACCTCTTTAAAATGAACATCTCCCTATAAAGGGAA